TTGCAAGGAAATCTTGAATTTTAGATTTGTTGTTTGGTAATATAACGGGATAATTATTCTGAAGCTGGGTAATCAACATATTGATGTGACTGGAAGTCAAGGTTCTTACTGTGGGAATCTGGAATGGGGAAAAGTGAAGGAAGAACCCTATAACTGACTGGAATTTTTTTTTTTTTTTTTTTTTTTTTGAGATGAAGTCTTGCACTGACGCCCAGGCTGGAGTGCTATGGCACAATCTCGGCTCACCGCAACCTCTGCCTCTCAGGTTCATGTGATTCTCCTGCTTCAGCCTCCTGAGTAGCTGGGATTACAGACACATACCACCACACCCGGCTAATTTTTTGTTTTTAGCTGAGATGGGGTTTCACCATGTTGGCCAGACTGGTCTCGAACTCCTGACCTCGTGATCCACCCACCTCAGCCTTCCAAAGTGCTGGGATTACAGGCGTGAGCCACTGCACCCGGCTTGAATGGAATTTTTTAAATAATGTTTTTTTTTTTTTGAGACAGAGTTTCACTCTTGTTGCCCACACTGGAGTGCAATGGCACGACCTTGGCTCACTTCAACCTCCGCCTCCTGGCTTCAAGTGATTCTCCTGCTTCAGACTCCACTGGGATTACAGGCATGTGCCACCATGCCCGGCTAATTTTGTATTTTTAGTAGAGATGGGGTTTCTCCATGTTGGTCAGGCTGATCTCCAACTCCCAACCTCAGGTGATCCACCTGCTTCAGCCTCCCAAAGTGCTGGGATTACAGACGTGAGCCACTGCACCTGACCCTAAACAATTTTTTAAAGATTTAAAATAGATAAAATTCGGTATTTACAGGCTCTTACCTCTGCTTTCAGAATGCCCCAAAGCAGTAACGTCCCAGTAAAACACTTAGTGTCTAGATACTGATTTCTCAGTAACAGTCCCCCAAAAAAGGAACTAACTCTGTTCAGGAGAAATGGCCAATTTCTAGGCTTCAGCAGGTAAAGTACAAGGTGAGTCTGGAGCAATTTGTGCCAGAAAATTACTAATGAAGGGGGCTTGTCACAAGGACACAGGAACCAGATTGAAGGGGTTTCCACTGATCAAAATCAGGGATAAAAATAATAATGAGGGGCATGAAAAAGCTTGCTGATGTGCTGCAAGTGTTATATTCCTCTAGGTGGTGACTGACTACACAGGTTTATTTATGATAAAACATTCATTAAGCTGCACACTTAAGATCTGTGTGTTTTACTGTATGTAAATTATGTCTCAACCAAACACTTTAAGAATACTGACAGCAGCTGGGCGCGGTGGCTCATGTCTGTAATCCCAGCACTTTGGGAGGCCAAGGCAGGCAGACCACAAGCTCAGGAGTTCGAGAACAGCCTGGCCAATATGGTAAAACCCTGTCCCTACTAAAAATATAAAAATTAGCCAGACACGGTGGTGAGCGCTTGTAGTCCCAGCTACTCGGGAGGCTGAGGCAGGAGAATTGCTTGAACCAGGGAGGTGGAGGTTGCAGTAAGCCAAGATTGTGTTACTGAACTCCAGCTTGGGCAATAGAGTCAGACTCCGTCTCAAAAGAAAAAAAAGAAAAAAAAAAGAATACTGACAGCAATGGATATAACAAATAGAAAAATCTGAGCTCATACTGAAGCTAAAAGTTGTACGTAAATAAATGAAGAAGTTCTTTATAGGATGCCACCTAAAAATGTAGAAAGAATGATGGCTAGAAGACCAACATTTTGCAAGTCGCATAAGTGACCTGGGCATTAAAATCATTAGTGGAAGTTTGCTAAGGAACAGGGTATGTATATACTTTTTAATTACAAAGAAAAAAATAATCTTTACCTTGCAAAAATGACAGACATTATCTTAACCAAGTTGTTGCTAACACTACCAATAAGAGGACAAACCAATGTCACATGCCTCCTGATGTAATAAGGAGTGAAGAGACACAACTTATGTAGTATTTCTGGCAAAAAGTTCATACCTGAATCTAATTATAACAACCTAAATTGGAGGGGCATTCTACAAACAACTGGCCTTCCTTTTAAAATGTTATAAAAGCTGGATGTCATTGCATGCGCCTATAGTCCCAGCTACTAGGAAACTGAGGCAGGAGGATCTCTTGAGCTCATGAGTTCAAGGCTGCAGTGAGCTGTGATCACACCACTGCACTCCAGCCTAGGCAAAAGAATAGAAATTGTGTAAGTCCATAGTTTGCGGAGTCTAGCCTGAACAACACAGTAAGACCCCACCTCTTAGAAAAAAATTTTTTAAAGAGGAAAAAAAATAGTAATACTGACAGCAATAGATATAACAAATAGAAAAATCTGAGATCATACTGAAGCTAAAAGTTGTAAGTAAATAAATGCAGTCTGGGTGACACAGTGGGGCCCTGTCTCCAAAACAAACAAACAAAATGTCATAAAAGCTGGGGCAGTGACATACGCCTAACCCCAGCTACTTGAGAGACTGAGGCAGGAGGATCACTTGAGGCGAGTTAGAGGCTGCAGTGAGCTATGATAGCACCTGTGAATAACCACTGCACTCCAGACTAGGTAACATCGTGAGACAGTATCTCTGAAATAAAAATTTAAAAAAATTGTTTGTCATAAAAGACAAAAAACATGAAGAAGAGCTATGCAAAAGTGAAGGACAGGCCAGTCATGGTGGCTCATGCCTGTAATTCCAGCACTTTCGGTAGCCAAGGCAGGTGGATCATCTGAGGTCAGGAGTTCAAGATCAGCCTGGCCAACATGGCAAAACCCTGTCTCTACTAAAAATACAAAAATTAACCGGGCATGATGGTGTATGCCTATAGTCCCAGCTACCTGGGAGGGTGTGGCAGGAGAATCAGCCTGGGTGACAGG